TATGTAAAACATACAGAAAAAGTTTTTAGAACTAAATTAATAACACAAATCAGAGTAGCTACAAGAATTATAAGAAAACTCTTTTACAGAGTAGTTTTTAATTGCTTTTTTTTGTTTCTTTTACTATAGGGTTTTTGCCCTTTTATTACAGGGTTTTTTTTAAAAAAATCTTAATCAAATGATCAACTTACTACTTTTTATACATTTAAAATTGGCCACTTTCACTTTTATTAAAAACAACCATGTAATCGTATTCTCAAGAATTTCAAGAATATGAATCACTATGATACACAGAAGAATTATATGAAGATGAATCAAATTCAGATGATTTATACATAGACAAAGCATACCAATATGAATTATATTTAAATGAGTCATCTCAAGCTAAATTATACTCGGATGAATACCCTGATGAATGCTTTGACAAACACTCTAAAGAACTCCCTGAAGAACTCTCTGAAGAACCCCTTAAAAAACATTCTGATGAATGCACTAGTAAGTCAAATCAAGATAAAACAAGCCAAAATAAACTGTGTTCTAATGAATCTACAAAGTATGTAAAATCTTAGATACAATATATTATAATCAATCAAAACTATGTCTACAAATTCATGAATCTATTAAATACAGATTTTTTGAATAATCATCTGATGCCAATGCATGTTAATAATAAATTATGTTCGACAGGGTGAAACCTGAGTTGCAAAATAGTGAAATCTGCTATAATTATAAAAAATATAAAAAAATGCGGATTTCACCCTAACCTAATCTACAAAGCAGATTTCATTATTTTGCAACTCAGGTTCATTCTGTTCTATAATAATAAATTAGATGTATAAATTTATTAATCTGTTATTTGTAATTCGATCTTTTTCTATTTATTATCTCTTAAACTGTAAACTGATCTAGACAAATTTGTCTGCAAAAATTTATCCAATAATTGCCTTTGACAAAAGTTATATATTTAAATAATCTAATATGAAATTTCAATAAATGACATGCCCAGTAGCATCCTGTAATCTGACTGAGTGATATATGAATATGACTTTTATAGGGCTATTTTACTAAACTAAAGAAAAAATAATAGCAAAGCACTATTCAAAATGGTTAAAAGTAGTATTAGCTAAAAATTCTGCAAGTAGTATGCCTAGTATTAATAGTATTGAGGTTGATACAATGATTTACATATGTTGTACTATCAAAAACAATTTTGATCAAAAATTTGCAAGCAAATTTGCCTGTAAAATGGTTTAAGGAAATTGCAGAAAAAATGTTTCTATTAAAATTAAAATTTGTAGAAGTAAAAGTATATATTTTATATCAATTGATATAGAAAAACATACATTTTGAAAAAAATTATAATTATAAATTTATTGGTTGATCTCACATAGTTTTGATTAATTATAATATGTTGCATTCTAGTAAATCTTTCTTTATTTTATTAATTTTTTTTTATTTCATAGATTTATCGTGTAGAAGTATTTTTTTTAAAAAAAAAAAGGTAGGGCAGTATGTGGTATTTGCAGTATGATGTTAATATATAGTAATATAATAATATCGAATCTTTTAAAATACCTCAAAAGAAAATATAAAGCAAAAGTACCTGAATTAAAAGAGCAAAATGTAGAAGGGACACAAGCATTTTAGATATGCTAAATAATCAAAGCTATTATCATAAACTCTTTAGCCAACAAAAACTTACTGATTTGTTAAAGAGATAGGTTGTAAAACATAATCACCCATTTTAGATTGTTGAAGATGATGAGCTTAGAGAGATACTTACTTATTTAGAACCTTGTATAGTAGGTAATAGTAAAGATTTTAAGTAAATGTATTGTATCATTTCAAAATAATACTCTGAGCATTATTTTGAGACACTTTGCTTGATGAGAGCTAATAATTAATTTAACCAAATATAAATCATAATTTTTTGTTATTAAAAATCTTTGGCTAGATTAATTATTAATTTTTTTTTCTAGTTTATCTTGTAGTTAAAGAAAAAATATTGTTAATTTTTTAAAAAATAAAATAAATTCTTTATTATCATTTTTTTAATTTTAGCAATTCTGCTTTTATTATTTAAATTAAAAGTGCCAAAAACTTATATTTTATACAAAATATATTTTCTATACTATATTTTTGTATTAATAAAAACTTACTCAGTATTAAAACCTGATATGACTTATCTAAACAGCTAATTTACCTTATATTAAATTTTTAACTTTTTAAAAATTTAATACTTTTGATCATTGGTTGAAAGTTGCTAACTTTGTCAACAATTACAAATTTTTTTTAAAAATACTATAGCTAGACTCTTGATTTGTAGTTTGAATACTATATATTTATTAACTATACTATTAGTAAAAATTAAATATTTTCTTTTATAATCTATTTTTTCTAAACTATATATATTCTTTCTCTTACTATTCTTTTTTTCCATATCTTGCTATGCTTTTCTTTCTTTATAGTTTCTTGAAGAGTCTTTTTTTATTTTTTTTTCTATTTTTTCTAGCTAGTTTTTTTTTGAACTTGCATTTGGGCTTAAATTTGTTTTTTTGTTGTATTAATGCTTAAATTTATTTCTTTTTAATAGTTTAGTTTGTTATCTGTGTTCTTGTAACTCTAATTATTTATTGCTTTTCTTGTTTTTTTGTTTTTTTAATTTGTATATTTCTCTTTTATAAATATATATATATTGTTTTTTTATACTAATCTTCTATATTAGTTGAGTACTATTATCTTGTATACCATTTTTTATTCATCTTGGTTTTGTTTTATTTTTTTGTGAAGCTTTTTTTTTATTTCTTCTGCAATAATGTTTATTCTGTTGTCAATAAGTAGTTTACTTGTTTTTTTTTTTTAGATTTTTTTCTTCTATTTTCAGGCTATATTTTTTGGTTCACTGTATTTATTCTTGTACTTAAATCTAACTTATTTATATTTTCTCTAAGTTATTACTAATTCTTATAATTAAATCTTTTTGCTTATTTCATAGCTTCTTTAAAGTATATTATAAATCTTGTATTTTTACTCTATTTTTTATATCTTCTATTTTTTCTAATTTTATACTTTGTTTTGCTCTAATTATTTTATACTATATTTTTTATTGATTTTTTCTAAAGTTTTTTTATTTTGATACCTTCTATATCTTTCTTTATATATTTTTTGTTTCTGTTTTATAAACTATTTTCAAATTTTTTTTTAACAGTATTTTTGCATTTTTTTTTACTTTGGATTTGAATTTTTAGAAAACTTTTGTAATATTTTTCTATTTGCTTGACTTATCTGTTTCTTTTCTACTTGTTTAAGTTTTCTGTATACCATTTTTATAGTTTTTCAATATATTGTTTTTATCCTGCAAATGAAAAGATATTAAGATTTTTTGTATTATAGTATTTAGCAAAACTATATCAATTTAATATCTTAGAATAAAGTTATAATACTTTTTTTTTAATTTTTTTTGTATTTTTGTTAAAATATTTGCAATACTTTGCTTATATTCTTCTATTTTAGTTTTATCTATTTTATTTAAAGAGTTCTTTCTTATAATTCTTGTAGCTACTCTGATTTGTGTTATTAATTTAGTTCTAAAAACTTTTTCTGTATGTTTTACATA